TTGGATTTTGGGGGCGGCAGGGCATTGGGGGCGTGTCCCCGGGTGCTTATGACCCTTGCCATTTATTTAAACGTACGCGAACAGCGAATCGTGCTGCGATTTCCTCGATTGGAAAAATTGAATTATACCCATTTGATGAGCATAATAAAAACTGGCAGCTGCCTTTGAAAGTGAAGGCCTTTTAAATGGCTTCAATTTTGGTTAAAAAAGGCAGGGATTGGCCTGCCAATTATATATTTTTGGGCTTACATGGGGAAAGTGTTTCGTTTTTTGTTAGTCAATTAATATATTTGAATGAAAAGTGGGTTCTTAAATTAATTACAAACAAGTAGATTAAATATTCAATATAGAATATAGTAAAATAAATTATAAATGCGTGTTTAAATTTTAAAAGAAATTTTTTTTAACTTCTTGGGGTTTAAAACAGTTTACTTAGTTATTTATTCGATTAAATATTCAAATTAAAAATGTAACAAAAAATTACAAAAGTTGGTTTAAATTGTAAAATAAATTTTTCCCCCCTCCCCACTTCTTTTATACAGTTTATTTACAGTTTAAATATTCTTTTCCAGCTACTTGAACTAAGCCCGAGCTTATAGTTTTTAAATCCAGTCCCATTGAGCTGCTTTCCTGCAGCATCATCACGCATCCTTCGGATACACGCACTTTTCAGATCCACTTTGCCTGCCGGCGGAAAAATCCCCACCGCCGATTGACGCGAGAACTTTTAGCCAAGTTTATTGCATCAGAACGCAAAAGCCAATAAAAAAGGGGAACAGGGCCGTTTAGCCGGAGGAAAGGCGATCTCCATGGCAGAGTGTAGAGTGTAACCCGCTCAATTGAATAGACAAAGAGGGGCACTCAGACGAACCCCCTTTTAGCATAGAATCCTTGAACCCCGGAAAACCCCCTTGAACCCCCTCCCCCCTGCGTAGGAGGTGGCATTTCGAACAGGCGCTCAGAAATCGGCAGAAGGGCGTTGGGAGCACAGAATTCACCTGTTTTGTGCAACGCCAAATTGATGGAGACAGAATGACAGCCAGATTGCAGGGGATCAGAAGGGGTACAAATGGGGTTTATAACACTGGGGGAAATATTTCTATACTTAGGAATTTATATGACATCCCTTAAAATTTTCTTAAATTTGTGATCAACCAGAAATCATCTTATTTGTTAAATGGAATAAAAAATATATATATCTTAACTTAAGTTTAGTTAAACATATTTAAATTTATATTTTTGTTTAGCTTATATATATGTATGATTAAGTATATTTAATCAAAACACATTATTACATATTAGCCTATATCTATAACTTAAAATTATAAGCAATTTTTGATTATTTTTACACAGTTTCAAGTTGTGCCAGAAAGACATTTCTTAACAATCTTCTATAAAAGATAAATTTACATAGTAACCTACTAAATTATTCAAAAAATGGTAAATAATTGGATTGAGTTATTTATTTGAGGTTACTATTTTAAAAACCTCGGGTGTATTACGATAGTAAATTACATTTCCCCAATAAAAATGATAAATACAAGGAATACAAAATTGATTAGTGGGTACTACTTTAATAATCTCGGGCTTGTTAAAATATTATTTTACAAAACGCACAATGTATGTATGTAGGTTTAAAAATCGTATCATAGTGTTATTAAAAATTAAATGAAAAATAACTAATACAATTATTTTCATAGTTTTACATTACTTAGGTACCTACTCATTAGAATTTCGAAATATTAAAATGCTATTCATTTTGAAGGTATTTTTCATAGTTTTTCATCACTTAGGTACCTATCATTAGAATTTCGAAATATTAAAATGCTTTTCATTTTTTCCAGTGCAGTGGTGGCTTAAAAAAGTGGGTAGCTCAGGACCAGGTCCCTGAAGTTAGGCGACGGCGGTCGCTGTTCGTAATCCACTTTCGTGTCCTGCTCCTCTCACAGCCTTTCCTTTGGGCCGCAAACATTTCAGCTTTTATGGCCGAAAGGGGCAAAATATGACTGCCAGGCCAGACTTTCCACGCGCTCACATGCAAATGCAATTTCCAAAAATTTTTACGCCCAAAAAAGTCGTCCATGGAAATGTGGTTCGCAAAGCGAATCCGAAATTTTTCGTTGTTGTAGTTTTAAGTCTCTCGATAGCAAACCTTGGCGCAAAAAAAAATTGGGAAAGCGGTGGAAAAACTTTTCGCTTTGCCATAAACCGATTTGGTAGCAAATTTTATGTCGCTTAGGTGGAAAAATTTCCATTTGACTGCCCTTCGCGGGGATCAAGGATTCAAGGAGGTCCTGTCGACCGGCGAATAAGCGTTGTTTGTTCGATTTTTCCACTGACTTATTTCTGCAGTTGCAGTTTATCGTTAATTGACATTAGCGAGGGTCAAAGGCAACTGGAATGGCATCAGACTAATTGAATTCCAGGTGGGCAGTAAGTGCAAAAATGGAAAGCTTTTCATTAAAGTTTGGCATTTTGCTAAAGGTTTTGAAATGAAAGTGATAGGTACTAAATGGTAATTTATTAAGTTTATACCATAAAGTTTTCACTTTAATAACATTTTATTATACCTATTTGTTTTGAAAATCTTGCAAAATTAAAAAAATTAATTTGGCTTCAATTTGAAAGGGGATTTTGTAAGCCTCTTTTGCTTTTTATCGCGCACCTTTAAGCCGCATAAAAAGTGCATTTGTTTTTGGCCAGCATTTTTTGTGTGATACTTCCTTTATGCCAAAACATGGCCAATTCGTATCAATGGCAATCGGAATTAAATGCAGGATCCGTTTGTGCAATCGAGCGCATCCGGCAGATGCGGCAGATGCTGTGCGGTTGTCAATGCATCCAGTTGGGAGATGGAAATGCGAGCCTGTTTGTCCAGATACCAGAACCCATAGGTATACATATATGCATGGTCCGCACGTGTGTGTGTGCGGAGTGTACAATGCCCGTATTTATTTTGCATATGACGCGCACTGTATCCCCCACACGGCGAGCAATGCATAAATAAACGAAACCAAATTTGCGAAATTAATTAAATCGACAGCAAAGTAACGTGTGCGCTTTGCGTTTTACGCTTTGACTGCGGCCAGTTTACAACCCAAACAATTCAGCTGTCCAACCACCGAACCACCCAAACACCCAACCACCCATAAACTCAACCACCCAAACACTCAAACACTCAACCACCCAACCACATACGTAATTGTGAATTGCACATTGTGCGGATGACGCGACTGTGAATCAAATTTTAAGCAGAAGCCATAAAAGGCTGAAATTCAGCGGAAAGGTTTAAGGTTTTTTCCACGAATTTTCAGAATTTTAAGCCTCTGGATAAAATGGAACCAAAAGAGTTAAGTAGAACCAACTGTTACTGGGAATCAAGAAAATTATACTTTAATCATTTGATGCAATTGCTTCTGTTCCCTTTTTAAAATATTAAAACATACAAATTTAAAAGATTAAAATAATTTTTTTATGGAATCCCTTTGTTAAGCATTTAGTTTAAATCGAAATACATAATATTTATAGCCTTGCAGAACGATTATTATTGTTTTTCTTTAAATACTTAAGACACACAAATGAATAATTTTTTTAAAATGATTTTAAAAATGTAACTAAGGTATTATCTTTGTAAGCTATTTAACTGAATTTGAATACAACTTCAAGATCATAATTCAATACTTTTGTTTCTTTAAAAAATATAAATAAAAGTTATCTTATAAAATGTTAAACAAATATATTAGTGGATTTAAATAATAAAGCGTTTGATTATCTCCAAGACCATAAATAAATAATCAATTAACAATGAAACAAATTACCTTTTAATCTGTAATCCCCTTATCATCCAGGTACTTCATAAAGTTCACAGCTCAAAACAGTATATATTTTTAACCCGTTTAAGCTTAGTGCTATCTACTAGAGCGCTGCTTACATACATCCCCATATATCAATGAGCTGGGGGAATAATTTAGTGTCTGGTTTGTAAGTATATCAAACGCAATCCTGTGACCCCCTATCCACCTTCCGGCAAACAAGATAAATTCAGCGAGTCAGCTTGTCCTGTGGCCATAACCGTGTGTATGTAGATCGGGATACTGGCTTAAACTCTGCCGGGAGCAGCGACATTGGCGGGGCCATTGATTTGCATTTGCACAGCCCATTAAGGATTCGCACTTCCTTCCCTTACCTTAAATAATTAAATATTCCGAGTGTTTCGACATCCATATTTGGTAATGAATAGCATGAGCTGCGGGCGTTTGATAAGCGTCCCCCATGGCAGTTAACTCACATTATTCAACTCGACTCAATCGGCAATTAATGCCACTCGTATCGCCTGATTTGCCTATACCTCCGATGCGGAAGCATATGGGACATGCGAAAGAATCGCTGCCTCATTAATAACCGAAGTCCTTGTTCATACATCACTCATACGTCACGTTGGTTAATCCATTCGTCAGATTCGCAAGGATGTGCCTGAGAGGGGGTCTGTGGGGCCACAGTGCCCCCTGACAGTCTGTCTAATCTGTGTCTACGGATGTGCCCATCACCCGCAGCCTGTGTTTGCGGTATCAATCACAATCTTAAGCCCGATGTTTAGGCCAGATTATGTGGGGGAGTCGAAAGGGTTTTCAATTGTAAGCAGACAGTTTAGCAAACAACATGTCTGATTACCGACTAAAGGGAATTTTGAATTTTACATTTATTTATTCTTATTTTAAATTTACTTTTTTTTTAAATTTAAAATTCGTTTTTAAGCCAAGGTCCATTAAGATCTAGCCATTATCAAAGATAAGTTATTTGGTTTAATATAATAATCTAATAATAATCGATATTTATCGATAATATCGATAAATTAAAGTAAAAGAGAATATTAATACCATGAAGCATAAATTAAGTATTGGTATGATGGATAGAATTTCAATTGTTTAAGAAAATGAGTAATGATGGCTTACTTTGTTTTTTTAGCTTACTATTTATTTTTCATCAAGTTACCCTGCCTAAAATGTCAATAAATCATAGTAAACTTTTGTAAACTGGACCTGGGCACTGGCCTATTTCCCCAAAACACCAGAAAATGGCCAACAGATCCGTAGCGCCCATACCCAAAACACATGAGAGAACTCCAGGTCCTAGGGGTCAGGATACCAAGGGCAACAATGAGCTCTTCCTCAAGGAGGTCTTCAATACTACCAACAAATATCGGGCTATGCATGGCTGTCCGGCCTTAACTCTAAATGCTGAGCTGAATAAATTGGCTCAAGAATGGGCTAATGTAGAAAAAGATTTATTATAACATATATTTAATAAATAAATCTTTAATTCACAGCATCTTCGGGACCAAAACATAATGGCACACCGACCCAATCCCAAGTACGGCGAAAACATTTTCCTCTCTGGTGGAATGGATGTGACCGGAGATCTTCCAGTGGAAATGTGGTATCGGGAAATGAATAGCTACGACTTTAATAAGGCTCAATTTGCACCTACTGCCGGACATTTTACGCAGCTAATCTGGAAGGCCTCGAAGGAAATGGGTTCGGGTGTGGCTCGCAAGTAAGTTAAAGTCTATAGATATTCCACTTTTTAAATATTTTTTATGTTTACAGAGCGGACAGAACGTGGGTGGTTTGCAACTACAATCCTCCCGGCAATGTTGTGGGTTTGTTCAAAGATAATGTGCCTCCTAAAAACTCATAAAATAGATTTATCTTTCAAAATCTGAAGTATATTAAAAACGCAGTATAGGTCCAGTTTGTTTTTGTTTTTTTATTTATGGCTAATACAACATTTTCTTTCCTTTTTAACCTAAACCATTTAAATTCAGTGAAAGTATTAAACAGTATTAAATTTATATACGCTTTTCCCTTTTTAATCGAACATTTTTAGGTCTTGATATTTTCTCCGTGTTGGACTCCTGACTGGAATGGCTTAGATAAAATTTTCTTGGCACAACATTCTCCTTGAAATGATCTTTTACATTACCAGGTGGATTGTAATTGCACACAATCCATATGTGGGAATCACTATTAGTAAAGTCATTATAATTACTAAGATATTTATGATAATTAAAGTATTATAAACACACTTGAAGGCCACGCCCACTCCCAGGAACTCCGTTTCCCGCCAAACCATCTGAGTAAAATGTCCGGTATATAGATTAAATCCTGGCTTAAAGTAGTCGTAATTGTACTTCTCTTGGTACCAAAGTTTCATTATTTTATCAACACAGAAAAGTGATTTACGGACACACAATATGCTCTCACCATAAATGGGAAGAGGTCGAGTTTCCAGAAGATTGTGATCAGTCAGGTGCTGAAGGCCAAAAATTAAAAAAGAAATCAAATAAGCCTTGAAGAATTTTAAAAATTTCAAAATCTATCTATTATTTTCACCTACATCAGCCCACTCCTGTGCATAGGAAGATAGTTCTTCATCCATTTTTAAAGGACTGGCGTTGTGGAGTTTTCTGTACTTATTGTTTTCCCTTAGTATAGCAAGTTTAACTGCTTTTGTTCGGATTTTTGGCTTAACAAACTCCTGCAATGGAGAGTTCCTACAATTCTCAACCTTGTTGGTCAGTGTGGAACATTTTGAAGATGTTTTGCACTTAGGAGCTATGCAATCTACAGATTGTTTACCATCCAACCAATGCCACAGAGATGTACCATCTTGTTCTTTAAGATATCTATTTTTCGTTGATGTAGGCTTTGCAGGAAGTGACCTTGTGGAGTTAGTGACATCGCAGGCCAGGTAATTCCGGGAATTATGGTACACCTTGAGTGGCTTCTGGCAAAAAGGTGTTAGGCAGCTGCGGCACTTGCCCAAATCCCTATTCCTCAGATCGCAGGCAATGAACTTGGCATCAATGTGCTGAATTACCTTGAGAGGGTGATTTCTTTCAGTACATTTCTCTGGCGTATTTTCGCTCTCCATTTAATTTTATTTTTTCATAATAATTTTTAGAAAATGTTCGAGGGGAAAATTGTGAAGTAAAATGAAACTGGGTGGCTGCTGCCGCATTTTCCTAGACTTTCCGCTGATCCCAGCGCTTTTCACCCTGCCTTTTCTTATTTTAATATTTTTTTTTCGTATTTTTGGCGACAATTCCACGTCACACATCATTAATTTTAAATTTCTGTCATAAATATCCGCGTGGGCGTGGATGAGCAGCGGGTGGCGACGGGTCACAAAGGTGTCAAGGTGAAATTATGGCAACAGCGAGCTCTTTCGCCCCCGTGACCCCTGACCTTCCACTGTTGGCCTGCCTTTTGATTGACTGTTTGTCACTTGGGCATGGAAATTAAAATGGAATTTTTTACGCGCTGAGTTTTGGTGCCATTGTGAGAATGGTGATGAATTGATGGAGATAAAAATATTTATGATTCAATTTCCCATCTCTAGATTAAATGCTTTTGAGTTTGGATCGTTAGGTTGATTTAAGCAGTGAAATTATGATTGCCTTTTAATGAGTGAAACGCTTGGGGATAAAAAAAATGGTAAGAAAATAAAAGGGAAGCTCAAATTGTTTACAAAATCAGAGCATATAAAACATTAAGCAATTTATAGATTTTCTTAAACTAGCTTTTTCTTACAAACCCTTTTCTTTTTATTTCAATGATTCCGATACTTTGTCCTGTACAAACCTGTTTCGATTTGTTATCGATTTTTAATCGTTTTTTTCAATTTTACCTCTAGAAATCTCTGCAAAATCAGATTAATGTAGTGTTTCTCTCTACACAGATTCGCAATGCATTAAAGTTCCCGGATTTGCCATCTGTGCAGAGCGGAAGCTATAACTTTGAGCCCCCGTAACCGTAGCCGTTAACCCAATAAACCACTTTTGGGGGCGACAACCGAACGGCGGGCGACTTTTGCTGCTGGCCTCAGTTTCACACCGTCAACAAGTGACAAGCACACCAAGGCAAATATCCATAGACACACACACATATACGTGTTACTGGCATCACGTCAAAGTTGGTTGGCAGCATGCCACAGAAATTCCAGCTGGCTGCAACAACAGCAAGTCAACAAAAAGTGAAGAAACGCTCAAAACAACAGCTGAAAAAAATCGGGATAAATTTAAATACACACACACAAACACACACACATATATATATATACAGGAAAAGGCGAGCAAGAAGAAGAACAAGTGATCATAAGGGTGGCCCCAAAAAGTATACTATGAATTTTTATGGCGAATTTTCGCTTTTTTAATTTCAGAGAGCAAATGATAGGTAGAAGGGGGAGGGGGGTACCCCCTAATGTCCTGATGTACGTGATGATTTCATATATTGCCTCCCAGAGGTGATTCTTTTTTGAAGTTGCCAGGGTCAGGTCCCAAAATAAATTAAATTAATGGTGAGGCAACACGTTTGCTAGAATTTAATTTTTTAAAACACATTCTCAGCCATTTTATTAAATTCTTATGCAGATTTTTGCTTTCCCATAATTCTGTTGACCTATTATATTATTGCGTTTTGGTTTATTTGAGCTGTTTAAAATATCTGGAATAATTAAGGCATTAAATTTACTGATATTTTGGTTTAAATACCAAAAAACGAAAAAGAAATTATATCTTAAAGATACTTTTTCTGTCAATGCCATATTAAAATTTCTACTTTTAGGTAGACAAAGCCACATTCCCATTCCCATTAAGTTTTTACGCAGTTTCCGCAGCAGACACGGAGGACTCTTTGTGCCATTTTACACCTTGTCGAATGGTTAAATGCATTCAACTGTCAAAAAGCCGCAGACAAAAGTTCAATTTAATTACCGCAAAAGAAAATGGGGCAACAAAAGGTGTGGCATTTCCATTGCTTGTTCAAAAACTTTGGATCGCAAGGTCTGGCAATGAATCCTACCGGCTGCCAATGAGTTTTACAATGTAATTAAGCAGACAGGGAACTTCTCATTTTTTTTTTTTTTGCATTTTAACCAGGGGTAAATGAGGTCAGGGGGCATGGCTGGAGCGAAGGGAGGCTGTGGGAAAACCGAAAGTCGAAGGGCGAAAAGGAAGTTCCTTTCTCTGAAAGCTTTCTTCGTTATGCATTGTAATTTGCGTGTAATTTTCAAGGCGTTGGGAAAAACGTGGAAATGCTTCTGCAACAACAGCGGCAATAATAATTGCAACTGCAACAGCAAAAGCAGCACCTGCAACAACAAAAGCAACAGCAGCTGCTTTAAGGCAAAAGTCTCATTTATTTTAATGTGTCGACGCTGACGACGTGCAAATGTCTGCCAGTTTTCCAGCAGGTTTTTCCCTTCAGGTTTTCAGTTCGCCAGCGAATTTTCCATGTTCAAATTGCTCACAGATGCAACGCCAATTGTTTGCCAGTGTGCGTGTGCCTTTGCACGAGTGTGCGTGAGGCATGGGGAGAATGTGTGTGTGTGTGTGTGCTGTAATTATTAAGCTGACAATGCAGATGCTGCTTTTCCTGCTGATTTGAGCAGGGTTGCATTACCGATTTGAAATCTATCCAGGTTTATCAAAAAATAGAGTGTCTTTAAAAATATAATACAGCAAAAAAAACATGTTCAATGAACTGCTTAACTTAAGCTTTAAAAATTAATAAATAGTTGTGAAAAGACTTTTAAAATAATTTTTTTTTAAATATTTTTTTAAAGATATTTTGAAATAATAAGTTTATTTTATCTTAAACCGACTATTAATGTTTTATAAGACGTATTTTTTAAATACCAATTTAATTTTATTTAAAATCAACTATAAATATTTTATAATATGTACAAGGAACCGTTAATAAACTTCTTCAAAAGATACTGGATTTCTTTTAAATTGTAAGTACTAAGGAAAATATTCTCTTCGGATCATTCTCTTTTTGATATGCAATTACAAATTATTTTAAAGGATCGTTCTGATTTTTCAGAATCGTAATAGTCCCACAAGTATGATTGTTTATATTATGGTAAATATTGAAATAAAAGACTTTAAGCTAACTCCTTGGGCAGCTAAATCCCCTCCTGATCGCGCCTGCATCCCTGGCTTTATTTGCTCCATCATCCACAGTGGGTCAAACCCCTCATGGCTCATGGCTGACAATGGTCATAACAATGCCAATTTTAATGGTCATTACAAAAAGGCTCATAACCATAAAAAATGCACAGCCAACCGGCAGCAGAAAAACACAAAATGAGAGCAACGGCGGGAACAACGCGAGGAATCATGAGCATTTATTGGGCTTATGGGTCGTATTAATAATATTCATCTGTGCCGCACTCCCCAGATCATAGAATAAAATGCAAATGAATTAAATTTCAATTTTGCAATACAAGAACCGGGCAAAAAAAAAAATACATATACATTTTATGGGTAAACGAAAACAATTTGTAAATATAAATATTTGTGTAGCTTTTTTTTGAGAATGGCTTATTTTGTCAGGGATTTCATTTCCGTTTTTTATTCGTTGACTGAGATTTTTCACGTGAAATGTATATTTGTGGAGGAAGGTACTTAAGTACCAGTAGTGATTACATCAATCTGGTTTATAATCCTAGGTTAAATGTTTTTATTAGTCGAACAGTGGTATCAATCCATGTTTTAAGCCAGGGAATATTGGCGAACACACTGGGAGTATTGAGGAAGTCACAAGAGTTGTGCCAGGAAACGATTCCAATGAGTTTATTGTCGGAAACCAAAGGACCTCCCACGAATCCTTGACAGGCGAGGGGTACAATTCCCCTGGGAGCAGCGCAGATCTCGTCCAAATTTAGAAATCTTCCTTTTATAGCCTGTTGAACAGTGCACTTCATCTGGTTTTCTATCTTAAGATTCACTCTTAATAATATTTCCGATGAGGGAACCAAGGTTGAGAGTTGTCCCCATCCCGAAACAGTGACTTTAGTTCCAGGAGATGGTACTGAAGTGGCCAACTCAATAGCTCTGACATTGCCACCCAATTTTAAAGGTGTGGTTAACTGAAGTATTACCACATCACTGGATCGTATAGTCATCAGTTGCATCCTCTTTTTCTTCACATTTGCCACAATACCTCCCAAGTTTTTCAAGGGAGAACCCACTCGCACTGAGATGTATTTCACATTGGTTTTCCTCACACATTCGGCTATAGTTAGGACTATATCATCACTATATATTACTCCTCCACAATGATGTTGGCCTTTTATTTGCACCGAAGCCTGCCAGGGAACTTTTCCTATGGCTATGGGTAGTTCATCCAACAGGGAATATGAAATTATAACGGGAATTGATAGAACTAAGGGAAAGAGTTGGAGTAGCATTCTGTTCTTGCAAGTAGTATAGATGAAAAAAAATATCAACTGAATTTATTTAATATAGAACACTTTCTAAAGTTTTACTTGGAGAGCTTTAAGAGCTTGTAAAGGCGATTACTTAACGCCATAATTTTGGATAAACAGATGCATTTATTGTTTGTTCTGTCACGCTTTTGTTTGGAGTAAGCAGGTGAAGTTATTGTTTACTAGCCCCATTTATACCAATTTAAAGAATGATTTCAATACAGATATATTCACAGTCATGTCAAGTCAATAAATTAAGTAAGTACTAAATATAAGAAACGTTAAAAGTACTTACAAGCATTTCCTTTTCTAATTGAATAATAAGAAACTATTACAAAAGAATACAACAAACATTTTTCAGTGCCAACTGAGTTTTCAAACATTAATTTACCCGTGAAATACTGTTCTTTTGCCATTTCTTGGAAACCTCTTATGGTAATTACGATTATCAAGCATACGCAGTGGTGACCAGCGAAGATAAATTATTTACAAAAGTGGCCAGCAAAGTTTATCTTCCGGGCGACAGACAACAGTTGCCATTTGGTTGTTGATTTTAATGAAAGAATTATGGCCTCGCCTTTGGGGGTGAAAAGCCGAACTAAATGGCTTCCTGTGGCTGCAGCAGTTTTTCCCCGTTTTCCGTCACCAGTTTTCCCTTCGGGGAAAACCTGCTGTGCAAGACGTATAAATATATATGTTGCAAATTGTAATTTAAAACATTCTGGAGCGAAGCCAAGTAATAATTTGTGTTGCATTTGTGCATCTCCGCGTCCTGGCAACGGATTTCGCATTTTGAATGGTGGAATGGAAATGGCGGAATTGATGCGCTCGACTGCACGGAGAACCCGGGACTTATCCTCATCCCCCTGGAGGATCCCCAAAGGATCCCAGCTGGGAGGAGCTGGCATTGTTATCGTATCCTTTTCGGCGCCCTCCTTTCTCCTTTCTCCTTTCTCTTTTTTTCTTGCCAGCATATCAATGCGACTGCTTGAGAATAGCATTTTATTGCTTCAAACAACATGGAAAGTCAAGTGTTGCAGTCCCACGAAATTGTTATCCCCCCTTCCCATTTTTTTTACAATTTTTTCCGCATCCTCTCCGGGTATTTTTCTCGTTTGGCGAAATCGGTTCGGCGCAATAAATTCTATTAAAATGCAATTTGAAGGCTCTGTGATTTTAAATAATGCCAAGAGCAGCCATCGGGTTAATGCAGAAAGGACGGCATCCTTGGCGCTTTGTTATCCTGGCAATCTTATTTTTTTGGCCCTTCCATTTTCAGATTTATGCAATCTTCTGGTGTTGTTTGTTTGCCGGATATTCGAAGTATTTATGGTCTACCCGGAGGGTCCTTAGCTAATTGGGTTGTCAATTTAATCGGAAGTTGTTTGGGGGGCTTATCTTTATAGATTTCCCTTAACTTTTGGCCGCAAAATGGGCTTTCTTCTTTGTGTAAAGGCGAAAAGGGAGAAACCACAGCCAAAAGAAATTGCTATTTAATTAATGCCAAGTGAGGAAGAGCAGATTAAAATAGTGGAAATGTCATTAGCACCAAAATCTCCGAGGGATAAGGGGTCCTCCGGCTGTGAGCCAAAAGTCATCAAGGGGTCAACGTGTTGACCACACAATTGTGTGGTCACGTGATGACTTTTTGGCGCTGCTCTTGTGGTCATAATTTCGGCCACAAACGAAAAAAGGAAGGAAATTCAGCAGATGAGGCAAAGAAACCACAGGCAATTCGCTGACTCGACTCCGGGGATTGTCCCCCCGGTTTCTATCTGTTTGGCTTCTGCTCTTTAAGTTGCGCCGGAGTTCGTGTTAAAAATTCATTAGGAGTTTTAATTAAAATTCTCTCTGTGGCCCACAAAGGCGCTTTCAACACTCAGCGTTCTGACAGCGTTCACAAAAGAAGTTTGCGACGAAAACTTAAAAAATTAAAATGAGCACAGCACTTTTTTTATTTCAATGGCCAGGCAAAACGCTCACTGGTCCATAATTTTCCCGCACCCAAAAAGGATAAGTTGGGAGGAAATGAGGGGAAAGCCTCCATATGTGACCGTCGGCACTTTACATGCATGACTACGTGTCCTTTTAATATCCTGTTCACAGGCGCAGCTTCAAAACTTCCGCTGGCAAATAAATAAAATGTAATAAACAATGCAGATATATATATTTTTTTTTGAAAGGTATGTTTACATGGTTTTAAATTACTCAAATGTTTGCTTAATATAAATGTCATGTTTAATTTGATTAATTACAAATAAAAAAAATACATTTACTACACGATTTGGTAAGTATTTCCTTAATATTTTTAGAAAAAATGAAAAAAAATAATAAAGAATTATTGATTTGTATATTTATAATAATTTTAATATTTATTTTAATAAGTTAATATCTAAAAAAGTAGTTGTTAGTATTATTTATATTATTATTGTTATGTTAGTATATAATTTAATGAATATATCATGTTTTGAATGAAACGAATAAATAATTATTGTTATGTTATTATTTTAATATTTATATAAATGAGTAAATTTTTAGAAATGTATTTGTTGATATTACTTATATTATTTTTATTACGTTTATTGTTGTTTTAGTGAGTATATAATATTTTTATACTTTTCTTCAAGTCAACAAAGTGTACTTATAAGTTAAAAAACTCCTGATATAATTGTTCAAAAGTTTGTTTGTAATTGCAAAATGATCTGCGAAATAAAATCATTTTGCAGAATGTGAGTTGCTGTCAATATTAGTAATTACACCAGGGACTATAGTTATTTTTGAAAGCTGAAGCCTTCGTCATCAATCGTTCAATATTATCAATTATTTGTCTCCAACACCAATTAGTTGGCACTAATAAATGTCCGAACATTTCGGGCCTTTTCGTGTAATATGAGCATTTTTAACCCCGTAATGGAATTCACCAGTGAATTACCCTGGCCATGCGTCATTTGACGCATTATTGTGACATCCTGGCCTCGATTCCGCTTAACGTTCCATCGACAATGCGATGTTCATCGCATAATCATAATTAGTTTTGCATAATTTGACCCACTGGCTGGCGTTTCGGGAGTGAAATTTCGTCCTGTCCCCCCGCATGATATTCAATTACAAACATTGCCGAATGTTCTAAACATTTCGAGTGTCTGGCCGAAATTAATTTGTTTGTATAACTGGGCAAACTAACACTAGTTCTGTAGTCCTTTCGTCCTGCGGTCCTTTGGTCCTGCTCCTGTTTCAGCTCCCTTTGGAGGTGGAGGTGTGCAAACAAATTGCGTACGTGTACGGGCGGCGAGGTCCTTTTGGTCCTTTGGTAATTGTAATGCGAGCAAATAAACGAGCGAGTGCCACACGAATATTCATACAACAATGTTGCACACATATGCACACGAAGGACATTCGCACATACACACAAATGGAGATGGAGCGAAAGGCAAATGGCGACAGGACAAATGCTTGATGTGGGTGCCTTGTTATTGTCATACCCTCGAACAGCACAAATTTTTAATTTCAATTTTTTCCACTCGCCCAAGTCCGAAACAAGTTGTGTTACAAATTTGAATTTATGTCCTGTGAACACCTGCGATATCCTGCTGCTTTGGTCAGACCCTCGATTCAGTTGGGGTTTTTGGCCGTTTCATTTTCATTCTCGTTTTGATCGCACAAAGTTTTGCCAGCACATTAGCTACATATGACACCTTAAAGTGTTTACCAGCTCGGGGATCGCAATCCTAGACGGGGGAATTCCTTGATTGGATTGGGGTTGGGTGGGGAAGGACATGCCGGAGAACTGGTTGCTAAAATTGAATTCACAAAGTTATGAATAGTTAATAACTGCGGAGAGAAGGAGCAGGTTATGGGAATGTGAAAGGAGAAGGGAGAAAGTTGCAAAAAGGCACCCAACGACATTCCAACTGAATGAAGGTATTGGGTAAGTGGTTTTAGAATATTTAAATTGTGACTGAAAATATCTGAGGTAAGGAAAGATGCAATAACAGATTACTTTACATTTTAACGCATTTCATAAAGGAATTGGTATTATATTTATAAATATTTATATTTTTCCATTAAGCCTTAAAAACAGACCTTTGTTACCAGGGATAATACGTCATCATATATGATTAACAAATAGAGTCTTTAAGTAGAAACGTTTAATTATAATATATGTATAAATATTTATATTTCCCCATTTAGGATCTCTGCCATCAGGAATAAATGAGTATAATATCATAATTGGTTATTACTATTATTCTCGATAGCGGGATCTCTTTACTTATCTTCTATTAGCTCTTAAGATAGTACCATTTTTCTGTTGCTTTAAAATTAAAGTTCCAAACAAATAAAACAGAAACCCGTGAACAAAAGTCCCCCTGAAATCAAAGACATTAAATTCCGTGTAGAACAATGATGATGCTCTCTGCATATCGACTGTCATATCGCCCATCCCGATGTCCAACTGGCAGTGCCCAAGGCTGCGTTATAGTGACCACACTTCAGCGAACCCTGACCCCAATCTATTCCATCTATTGTTCTGACCTCGACTGAATTATTAATCAACAATAGGAACGCTGAGAACAATGCCAGTGGAACCTAACACTTTCCCGCTGTCAAACTCGGACTGGACATGTGTGGAATCGGAGATATAGTATTTGCTCTATATATGTATACCCCTATACCTGACTGCTGTCAATGCAATCCACATTTACTAGAGACATTTTCATTAGAGCAATTTTCGTTAACTACTGCTGACTAACGATGGGAAAAGGGAGGAGAACACTTTGAAGGCATGTCGGTAAAGTGCCTTTTTCAATTTTTCGGTAGTCGAATAATACAGAGGGAAAAAATTATAAGACTTTAAGATAGATACAAATGGTGTTATAAAATGTATAAAAAATAATCGATGATACCTATTAAATAAAACTATAAAACATGGAATTAATAACCAATATGTATTTGACTTATTTGCGAATTTTAAATACATTTAAAATATATATAT